GCGTGGATTAGTCTGGATTTTCAAAACCACCAGTTCTGACCACAATGTGGCAGATTACGGGCCTCCCATAGCTGCTGCCAGGCCCTCCTAATCTGCCATGGGCCCCTATTATACCGCCTCCTCATGCTGCTGCCAGGTCCACAGTCTCTCATGATGCCATGTGCCACTTTCAGGTCTCCTCACACTGCTGGCAATATGTGTTGGCATTTTTTGTCATAGGGTGCTGGCAGATTACGGGCCTCACATAGCTGCTGCCAGGCCCCCTAATCTGCCATGGGCCCCTATACCGCCTCCTCATGCTGCTGCCAAGTCCAGAGTGTGTCATGGGTCCCTGTACGGCCCTCCCATTGCTGCTGTCTCCATCGCCACACTCTGCCATGTGCCACATTCAGGTCTCTTCACACTGCTTGTGTGTTCCATTTTTTGTCATAGGGTGCTGGCAGATTACGGGCCTCCCATAGCTGCTGCCAGGCCCCTAATCTGCCATGGGCCCCTATATACCGCTCTCCTCATTGCTGCTGCCAGGTCCAGTAATCTCTCATGCCATGTGCCCATCCCCACTTTCAGGTCTCCTCACACACTGCTGGTGTTCAATTTTTTGTCATAGGGTGCTGGCAGATTACGGGCCTCCTATAGCTGCTGCCAGGCCCCTAATCTGCCATGCACCCCTATACCGCCTCCTCATGCTGCTGCCAGGTCCAGAGTCTCTCATGGGTCCCTGTACGGCCTCCCATTGCTGCTGTCTCCATCGCCACACTCTGCCATGTGCCACTTTCAGGTCTCCTCACACACTGCTGGTGTGTTCAATTTTTTGTCATAGGGTGCTGGCAGATTACGGGCCTCCTATAGCTGCTGCCAGGCCCGTAATCTGCCATGGGCCCCTATACCGCGCCTCCTCATGCTGCTGCCAGGTCCAGAGTCTGTCATGGGTCCCTGTACGGCCTCCCATTGCTGCTGTCTCCATCGCCACACTCTGCCATGTGCCACTTTCAGGTCTCCTCACACACTGCTGGTGTGTTCCATTTTTTGTCATAGGGGCTGGCAGATTACGGGCCTCCCATTGCTGCTGCCAGGCCTGTAATCTGCCATGGGCCCCCGTACCACCTGGTCACGCTGCTGCTGGGTCCACAGTGTGACATGGGTCCTTTTACCGCCTCCATTGCTCCCACTCTGCCATGTGCCACTTTCAGGTCTCCTCACACTCCTGCTGGTTTCCATTTTGTCATAGGTTGCTGTATGCGGCCTCCCATTGCTGCTGCCTCACACCGCCACACTGTGGCTCCAAACACTGGTTTTGGCCCCGTGACTGGCCAAATGAGTGAAGTGTGCGGTGATTCTAAGATCGACGGCACTCATCTGCATGTCATACTGAGTGACAGTATTATTTCTCTTCCCCAGCAGACTCCAAGGGCATTTAAATTAAAGGTACAGTGTTCTGCACTAATATTAAGTCTCTCTGAAGCTAGAAACACCCTTTTTTAAGTTAAATTCACAGCGAATTTATTCGACTCGAATCGAATATTGTTCACAAATTCGCCGAATCAGTCGAATCGAATTTTTCATTTCTTCGCTCATCTCTACCCATCATCTAGGAATTTCTAAGTGGTACAATCATATCTTTCCGGAGAAAGCGATTGGATGGAACTCAAGCCCTACTTTAATGTGATGGCTGTCCAATATTAACATCTCGCCTACTAGTTGGTGACAAGATGTCTACAGGATGTATGCATTCATTAAATCTGCCATCACCCTAGACTTTTAGATAAACAGACCCCATATTATCATGATAAAGCCCTTTAACAAAATGGAGACACAGTGTCTACCCACCACCTTTCCGCAGGCCCTAAAGACAAAAATGGCCATCTTAATTACAATGTCTAGCATTTGGCTTTGACATACTAATAAAGGCATGGACGGTTAGTTCTTTTGAGAATCAGGATGCCATTTTGTCCCATATGGTTTACACCAGCTACTTGCATAGTCATATCACTATGTAGTCAAAAATATTGTATTATTCCCATATAACATATCATATATAAACATATTAGTGATGGGCATTTCTTACATCATTTTACCTAAGAAATCCACAATGACCCAGATAGCAGTGTGCCCATTTGTGGACATTTCATCATCCATCGGAATTACTGGATATAAGTAGAGATGAGCGAAGTATTCAAAAATTCGATTTGGCTGATTCGGCGAATTCGAGGAATAAATTTGATTCGATGCGAATATATTCGCTGCGAATTTAACTTATAAAAGGGTGTTTCTAGGCTTCAGAGAGCCTTTATATTAGTGCAGAACACTGTACCTTTAATTTAAATGCCCTTGGAGTCTGACTGGGGAAGAGAAATAATACTGTCAGTCAGTATGACATGCAGATGAGTGCCGTCGATCTTAGAATCACCGCACACTTCACTCATGCTGCTGCCAGGTCCAGAGTCTCTCATGGGTCCCTGTACGGCCTCCCATTGCTGCTGTCTCCATCGCCACACTCTGCCATGTGTCACTTTCAGGTCTCCTCACACACTGCTGGTGTGTAGAATTTTTTGACATAGGGTGCTGGCAGATTACGGGCCTCCTATAGCTGCTGCCAGGCCCCTAATCTGCCATAGGCCCCTATATACCGCCTCCTCATGCTGCTGCCAGGTCCAGAGTCTCTCATGGGTCCCTGTACGGCCTCCCATTGCTGCTGTCTCCATCGCCACACACTCTGCCATGTGCCACTTTCAGGTTTCCTCACACTGCTGGTGTGTTCAATTTTTTGACATAGGATGCTGGCAGATTACGGGCCTCCCATAGCTGCTGCCAGGCCCCTAATCTGCCATGGGCCCCTATACCCGCCTCCTCATGCTGCTGCCAGGTCCAGAGTCTGTCATGGGTCCCTGTACGGCCTCCCATTGCTGCTGTCTCCATCGCCACACTCTGCCATGTGCCACTTTCAGGTCTCCTCACACTGCTGGTGTGTAGAATTTTTTGACATAGGGTGCTGGCAGATTACGGGCCTCCTATAGCTGCTGCCAGGCCCCTATCTGCCATAGGCCCCTATATACCGCCTCCTCATGCTGCTGCCAGGTCCAGAGTCTCTCATGGGTCCCTGTACGGCCTCCCATTGCTGCTGTCTCCATCGCCACACTCTGCTGCCATGTGCCACTTTCAGGTCTCCTCACACTGCTGGTGTGTTCAATTTTTTGACATAGGGTGCTGGCAGATTACGGGCCTCCCATTGCTGCTGCCAGGCACGTAATCTGCCATGGGCCCCCATACCGACTCCTCATGCTGTGACGTTGCAACAAGGTGGAATTCAACCCTACATATGTTAGACCGCCTTTACGAACAGCGAAAGGCCATCACAGATTTCCTGATGTTAAAAGCGGATAAAGGTTTTTTTTTTTTTTTCTCTTGTGTTTTTTGACACTTAGCCTTTCTACTCTATGTGATATACTGATTGGTGATGATCCTGGGGTAACCCAGATATTTTTTGCAGGATGCTTGGGACTCAACGCTGTTTTTTCTGTTTTTGCATTGATTTAACTGTTATTGCACATGTTGTCCTGTTGATACTATGTTTCATGTGAGGGGATGCTTATACTACTCATACGGCCTCCTACATTTCCGCATATTGCCTTCTCCCCCTTACTTGCCTGCCAAATGTCTCAAAATTACCTGGTGGCTCACAGGTAGCTGTGGCCTCTAAACCCTGACGCTCTAGGTGCATTTATGATTATAAGGTAGCCTCAGTTTGGCTTTAACCCACTCATACTGTATCCCCTGCTTTCCCTCTTATGTGCCCTGCTACTCTACAGCGAGGGCTGGGGCCCTGCGCTACATATCGTACCCCGAGCTTATTCTACAATATGGGTCTCTGTAGACTCCTCCCTCTTCAAATTCCGCTCTTATAAACAAATTTTTACACATCTCAAGGTGGTTTCCGGCCGGCGGTGGGTTCTATTCTCGTTTCGTCGTCTACCTCGTTCCCAACACAGTAGGCTCTGCGAGCTCTTACTGAATATTTTTACGGCCATCTTCACTATCTCGACTCTCCCTTTTCTCTTTACTTGCCTCATACTGTTCGTCTCCTTCTCTTCTACGTGCTCCTCCCCTCTTCTTTTCTCTTTCTGTCCTCTTCTTTTCTGGTTTCTCTTCCTCTCTCACGTGGAATAGCAGGTCTCTTCCTCTAGCCGTTTACTCTTACTATCTTCTCGGTCCTCCCCCTTTTTTTTTTTTTTTTTTTTCTTCTCTCCATTCCCTTCCCTCCCCCCCCCCCCCCCCCCGGGGGGCGCTGCATTTGCATCTTTGGTCACTCGCAATACTGATTGGTAAACATGCCATCCCCCACCTCAGTCTTGAGACCAAGGTCCCTGAAAATCCTCTCACTCAACACCAAGGGTCTGAACACACACCCGAAAAGCGCTCCATGTTGCTCTCATATCTGCACATACAAATGGCAGATGTAGTCTTCCTTCAAGAGACGCACTTTCGTCAGGACTCTATTCCCAAGCTTTTTAATTTCCACTTTCCCATAGTCCACCATGCCACTAACCCTCTGGCCAAGTCGAAAGGGGTAGCTATTTTACTCGCTAGACATCTTCCTTTTACTATGTCAGACTCCCTTGCTGACCCTGAAAGGCAGGTAACTTATTCATAAAGGGTTCATTCGCCAATAGACCCGTCACATTTGCTAATGTGTACGCCCCTAATACCAAGCAGGTCTCTTTCACCGCGCTCAATAACTGACACCCTAGCTGCTTTCCATTCGGGTGTTCTGATCTTAGGGGGCGATTTGAATGTCCCACTAAATCCTCTGCTAGACTCCTCCTCCGGAAGTTCCTTTTTAACCGTTTAAGGCCCTCAAACAAATAAACATACAATTACAACACTTACAACTGCACGACTCCTGGAGAACTCTCTACCCACCACGGTGAAAGACTACACATTTTATTCCGCACCACATAATAAGTACTCCAGGATAGACTATCTCTTTCTGTCGCAATCAGATCTCCTGCTACTCCATGCCGCTTCTATTGAAACAATGGTTCTTTCCGACCACCATCCCATTACCATGACTTTACGGTTCCCAGATACCTACACACGCTCGAAATATTGGCGCCTAGACGCCTCCCTTCTTGCAGACTCTGCAATCGAACAAGAGATCCGCACCAATCTGGTTGAATACTTTTCCTTCAATTGCTCCCCTGATACCTCCCCACTCACGCAGTGGGGAGGCTCATAAGTGTGTCATTCGGGGCGTCCTCATAGCAGCTGCGTCGAAGCGTAAAAGAGATAGACACAAGAGCGTTTGAGACGCCTCACAGATAAGATCCATTCATTAGAGAGGGCACATAAGCGTTCTCTGGCTGCGTCGACCCTATCCGAACTTACGTGTACACGTTCACAGCTTCTTACAGAATTGGGGAAGGTGGTTAAGAAACGGTTCATTCTCTCTCAAAAACTATACTATGAATTTTTGCTAACAAGAGCGGAAAGTTCCTTGCCAGAGCTCTCCGCGAGAAACGATCCAGTATGACGGTCCATAAAATTAGAGGTCCCGATGGCACCATGGCCACATCTAATCCTGATATTGTTGCCCATTTTGAACACTTTTATAGATCCTTATACAACCTTCCTCCTGAACGCCCACCTCCGCACACTGACGAATCCAGGGCCTCTTTGATTTCTGAATTTCTCCAGATCCACGGTCCGTTGGCTCTCTCGGAAGACCTGGCCAACTCTCTGGAAGCGGATCTGACCCTGAATGAGCTGCAGTGTGCTTTGAAGCAGACAAAACCTGGTAAGAGTCCGGGTCCCGACGGCTTCTCTGCAGCCTATTATAAATCCTTCTTGGATATCTTAGGCACCCCCTTTCTTTTGGCGTTTAATACTTTCTCCAAATCCCCCTGCCTCAACATCGTCTTTTGGAGGCCCACATAACGGTTATCCCCAAGGGTGATAAAGATAACACGCAGGTATCCAACTACAGACCCATCTCCCTGCTGAACGTGGACGTTAAGTTATTTGCGAAGATCCTGGCTAATAGACTTCTCCCCCTGCTTCCCTCCTTGATCAATTTGGATCAGGTTGGATTCATACCGGGAAGGGAAGCAAGGGACAATACCATTAAGGCCCTTAACCTTCACCATTGGATGTGCAAATCTAACACTTCTGGTTTTTTCCTTTCCCTGGATGCAGAGAAGGCCTTTGATAGAATTGCATGGGACTATTTGCAAGCGTCTCTGGTGTCCCTGGGTTTGGGGGAGAAGATGCTCAACTTCATCATGACCCTGTACACAGGCCCCACCGCTCGAGTCAGGGTCAATGGACATCTGTCAAACTCTTTTTCCTTAGGAAACGGAACACGTCAGGGTTGCCCCCTTTCCCCACTCTTGTTTGTCCTATCCCTTGAGCCCTATTACGCAAAATCCGCTCGAACTCCGACATCAAAGGGGTCAGGGTATTGGACAGGGAATACAAGCTCGCTGCTTACGCGGACGACATCCTTCTCTTCCTTGCTGATCCGCACACCACTTTGCCTAATTTGCTAAAAGATTTTGCCCTCTTTCGATTCTTGTCTAACTTTAAAATCAACTTCTCCAAATCTTTCGCCCTTAACATATCCCTGCCCACAGAATTCGTCTCTTTCTGTGAATCTCGTTTCCCGTTTCGTTGGGAAAAGGATTCCCTTTCATATCTCGGTGTACAACTTACCCGCAACCTCGATGACCTCTATGCAAAAAACTTCCTTCCCGCTCTCCGTTCTCTCCAAGAGGACCTCCATAAATGGCATCGTCCTTGTTTCTCTTGGTTTGGAAGGGCAGCAATAATCAAAATGAACATACTCCCACGCCTCCTCTATCTTTTTCAAACGCTGCCAATCCACGTACCTGTTGCTTTTTTTACATCTTGTAAAACAATCTGCTCACAATTCCTATGGAACCATAAGCGTCCGCGTATTGCTTTTCCCAACTGACTCTCCCTAAACTTAGAGGTGGGATTGGGCTCCCTGATCTTCACCGGTACTACTGGGGCATGCCACCTTACACGCATAGTGGACTGGCATGTTCATTCTACCTCTAAGGATTGGGTCCGCCTAGAAAATGCCTTCTCACCCTCACCCCTGGCATCGATTCCATGGTTCCTGCCAAAGCATACACCTCAAGAGCTCCTCACCCACCCTTTAGTGGGGCCCAGTTTAAATATTTCTCCGCCTGAACTGTAAAACGGCATCTATCTGAGTCACCGAACTCCTTAACCTCCATTCGTCTCAATCCTGACTTCCCCCCAGGCATGCACAAGTCATTCCTATCTGAGCATTGGCCTCATGACCAGATTTTGGTTAAACACTTTATCCGCGATGGCAAAGTAAAATCATTCCGCGAACTGCTTGATAGTCTAGATAGCCGAGATTTTCCTTTCTGGGCCTATCTGCAGATAAGACACTTCTTGCTCTCACACAAACTGTTCCATAACTGGACTCGTCCCCTCACTCCTTTTGAATCCCTATGCTCTAGAGCTGAACCGCGCAAACATTTGATCTCGGAGATTTACCCTCTCCTTGTTGAGAGTAGGGATTATGATTCTTTACCCGCCTGCCGTGCTTGGAACAGAGACCTGGGAAACAGCTTGGCGGACGCCGATTGGGACCTAATATTCATGCATACTCATAAATGCTCCTTCAATGTTTCGTCCTTTCTCCACATTTGGTGGTCTTGTTCCAGTATCCAACCATTTTGGCAGGAGGTCCACAGGCTTGTAGTGTCTGTGACCACCTTGTCCCTAGCTTTCTCTCCTGAGCAGTTTCTTCTCCATCACTCCTCTCTGCCCAGGGGACAATATCTCAAATCTTTAGCCATGCATATGGTCAACGCAGCCAGACTCTGTCTTCCCACTCTTTGGGGCTCCACCCGCCCTCCCTCCATACGCGATTGGCTGCTCCGTGTGGGTAAAATTGCGGATGGAAGAACTGATTGCGACTGCACTCGATTCCCCCACTAAATTCTCCCATACTTGGGCCTGCTGGACTCACTTTAAAACCACTCCTACGTACCGGTCCTTTATGGACCATCCAACCAACACGCCTGATTGAATACTAACCTCCATTGTATGTTACTCCACACTTTAGCTCATTCGGTAGGCGACTTCCTCACCTTCAGGGCTTTATCCCCACCTACCTGCTCCGGTTAATAGACTTATGCTCGAATCCACCCATAGAAGACCCTTGGTGTTGACGACAATACGAACCCAGTTCGCCCCCTTCTCCCTCCCCCCCCCCCTTTTTTTTTTTTTCTCTTCTATCTCTCTCTTTTCTTGTTCTCCTTTTCTTTCGTCTTATCTTCCTGTTACACGCCCAGTCAACCACTGGGTTCCTCTTTAGAGAACTTTAGGCATGCCATTGTCATACTTATCCTATTTACATCAGCGACCCTCAAGACGATCTAAGCTTACTTACAGGCACCTTCACTCTAGTAAAACAACTAGCTTCGTCCTTAACGGTTGTGCTGCATCTACACTGCCTCCTTCTGCGACGCTCCAATGAGAATTACATACTAAGGAGGTCCAACGCGATAACATTCCCATGCACACTACTATACTGCCTGAGTATTTCAGACTTCCCCGTCGTGGACTGGCACAACCATGTTTCATATGTGGTTCTTTGTAAGAATATTCCTACTATTTCCCGGTATGCACTGCCTAATGTTGTATATGACTATCATTCGCATTTCTTTTGTATTATTATGCACTTTCTCAATAAACGTTTTTTTTTTGGTAAAAAAGCGGATAAAGGTACTCCCCTGTGTAACTTCGATGTCAGCCATTGGCAGCTCATGCGTGACACCTGCCGCTTGCTCAGGCCCTTTGAGGAGGCCACGCTATTCGTGAGTCGGCAGGACTATGGGATGAACGACGTCATTCCTCTGTTGCACGTCCTGGAACAAATGCTGTTAACAATGGCTGGTCAGGGTGCGGTAGACGTGGCGCACAGATCTCAACGCCACATGACCCCTGTGGGGGCAGGACAGGAAGAAGAAGAGGAGGAGGTAGAGGAGGACATTGGTGCTCAGGAATTATTGAGTGAAATGGGTGGTTTTTCCACTCAGCGGACAGGAGTGGAGGAGCAGGAGCATCTGGTAGAGGAGGAGGAGGAGGAGACAGAGGACCCAGACGCACCGTGGCAGTATGCTGTGGAGATGGAGGCAGGGAGTCCCTCGCATTCCTTGGCACAAATGGCCCATAGCATGCTCGCTTGCTTGCGTAGCGACAGCCGAATAATAACCATCAGACAGAGGGATGACTTTTGGCTGTCCACCTTGTTGGACCCTCGCTACCATTCAAAAATGGTGGCCTTTTTCACACCTGCTGAGAGGGAGGCCAAAATAACGTACTATAAAAACCACCTATGTAGTCAGCTGGTCTCTGCCTTTGTGCGCCAACGTCCATCCTCAGACACTGTGGGCCCTGTGCGCTCGCGTTCCGCTGCCATGGCAGCAGGGGAGGGGTGGGGTGGTAGGAGCAGTGGCAGCTCCACCAGCAGCGGCTGCCTCAGTCTGCAGTCGATGATGAGTAGCTTTCTTCACCAGCGCAGTGAGGAAACTACTAACCAGCCGCAGCAGCAGCAGCATCAGGTGGACCTGGAGCAGGACCTCAAACAACAGGCTTAGGCCTACTTGGACAGCACCCTGCCAACCGAGGTAGACAATCCCCTTGACTACTGGGCAACGAAACTTGACCTTTGGCCCCAACTAGCTGAATTTGCCCTTGAAAGGCTGTCATGCCCGGCCAGTAGCGTGGCATCGGAGCGCGTGTTTTAGTGCGGCAGGAGGTATTGTAACTCCGCGGAGGACACGATGTTACAAAGTGTGGAGAGACTCACGTTTGTGAAAATGAATCAGGCGTGGATTAGTCTGGATTTCAAACCACCAGTTCCTGACACAACTGACTAAATCCGCCATGAATCATGCCCCAAACATGTGCCACTTTCAGGTCTCCTCACACTGCTGGTGTGTTACATTTTTTGTCATAGGGTGCTGGCAGATTACGGGCCTCCCATAGCTGCTGCCAGGCCCCTAATCTGCCATGGGCCCCTATACCCGCCTCCTCATGCTGCTGCCAGGTCCACAGTCTCTCATGCCATGTGCCACTTTCAGGTCTCCTCACACTGCTGGTGTGTTACATTTTTTGTCATAGGGTGCTGGCAGATTACGGGCCTCACATAGCTGCTGCCAGGCCCCTAATCTGCCATGGGCCCCTATACCGCCTCCTCATGCTGCTGCCAAGTCCAGAGTGTGTCATGGGTCCCTGTACGGCCTCCCATTGCTGCTGTCTCCATCGCCACACTCTGCCATGTGCCACATTCAGGTCTCTTCACACTGCTTGTGTGTTGAATTTTTTGACATAGGGTGCTGGCAGATTACGGGCCTCCCATAGCTTCTGCCAGGCCCCTAATCTGCCATGGGCCCCTATATACCGCCTCCTCATGCTGCTGCCAGGTCCAGAGTCTCTCATGCCATGTGCCACTTTCAGGTCTCCTCACACTGCTGGTGTGTTCCATTTTTTGTCATAGGGTGCTGGCAGATTACGGGCCTCCCATTGCTGCTGCCAGGCCTGTAATCTGCCATGGACCCCTGTTCCGCCTCTTCATGCTGCTGCCAGGTCCAGAGTGTCTCATGGGTCCCTGTACGGCCTCCCATTGCTGCTGTCTCCATCGCCACACTCTGCCATGTGCCACTTTCAGGTCTCCTCACACACTGCTGGTGTGTTCCAGGTCTCCTCACACACTGTGGCTCCAAACACTGGTTTTGGCCCCGTGACTGGCCAAATGAGTGAAGTGTGCGGTGATTCTAAGATCGACGGCACTCATCTGCATGTCATACTGAGTGACAGTATTATTTCTCTTCCCCAGCAGCAGACTCCAAGGGCATTTAAATTAAAGGTACAGTGTTCTGCACTAATATTAAGTCTCTCTGAAGCCTAGAAACACCCTTTTTTAAGTTAGATTCACAGCGAATTTATTCGACTCGAATCGAATATTGTCCACGAATTCGCCGAATCAGTCGAATCGAATTTTTCATTTCTTCGCTCATCTCTACCCATCATCTAGGAATTTCTAAGTGGTACAATCATATCTTTCCGGAGAAAGCGATTGGATGGAACTCAAGCCCTACTTTATGTGATGGCTGTCCCAATATTAACATCTCGCCTACTAGTTGGTGACAAGATGTCTACAGGATGTATGCATTCATTAAATCTGCCATCACCCTAGACTTTTAGATAAACAGACCTCATATTATCATGATAAAGCCCTTTAACAAAATGGAGACACAGTGTCTACCCAGAGTGTGGCGATGGAGACAGCAGCAATGGGAGGCCGAACAGGGACCCATGAGAGACTCTGGACCTGGCAGCAGCATGAGGAGGCGGTACTGGGGCCCATGGCAGATGACGGGCCTGGCAGCAGCAATGGGAGGCCCGTAATCTGCCAGCACCCTATGACAAAAAATGGAACCCACCAGCAGTGTGAGGAGACCTGAAAGTGGCACATGGCAGAGTGTGGCGATGGAGACAGCAGCAATGGGAGGCCGTACAGGGACCCATGAGAGACTCTGGACCTGGCAGCAGCATGAGGAGGTGGTACTGGGGCCCATGGCAGATTAGGGGCCTGGCAGCAGCAGCAATGGGAGGCCCGTAATCTGCCAGCACCCTATGACAAAATGGAACACACCAGCAGTGTGAGGAGACCTGAAAGTGGCACATGGCAGAGTGTGGCGATGGAGACAGCAGCAATGGGAGGCCGTACAGGGACCCATGAGACACTCTGGACCTGGCAGCAGCATGAAGAGGCGGGTACAGGGGGGCCCATGGCAGATTACGGGCCTGGCAGCAGCAATGGGAGGCCCGTAATCTGCCAGCACCCTATGACAAAAAATGGAACACACCAGCAGTGTGAGGAGACCTGAAAGTGGCACATGGCAGAGTGTGGCGATGGAGACAGCAGCAATGGGAGGCCGTACAGGGACCCATGACAGACTCTGGACCTGGCAGCAGCATGAGGAGGCGGTACTGGGGGGCCCATGGCAGATTACGGGCCTGGCAGCAGCAATGGGAGGCCCGTAATCTGCCAGCACCCTATGACAAAAAATGGAACACACCAGCAGTGTGAGGAGACCTGAAAGTGGCACATGGCAGAGTGTGGCGATGGAGACAGCAGCAATGGGAGGCCGTACAGGGACCCATGAGAGACTCTGGACCTGGCAGCAGCATGAGGAGGCGGTACTGGGGCCCATGGCAGATTACGGGCCTGGCAGCAGCAATGGGAGGCCCGTAATCTGCCAGCACCCTATGACAAAATGGAACACACCAGCAGTGTGAGGAGACCTGAAAGTGGCACATGGCAGAGTGTGGCGATGGAGACAGCAGCAATGGGAGGCCGTACAGGGACCCATGAGACACTGTGGACCTGGCAGCAGCATGAGGAGGCGGTACAGGGGCCCATGGCAGATTACAGGCCTGGCAGCAGCAATGGGAGGCCCGTAATCTGCCAGCACCCTATGACAAAAAATGGAACACACCAGCAGTGTGAGGAGACCTGAAAGTGGCACATAGCAGAGTGTGGCGATGGAGACAGCAGCAATGGGAGGCCCGTACAGGGACCCATGAGACACTCTGGACCTGGCAGCAGCATGAGGAGGCAGTACGGGGGCCCATGGCAGATTACGGGCCTGGCAGCAGCAATGGGAGGCCCGTAATCTGCCAGCACCCTATGACAAAAAATGGAACACACCAGCAGTGTGAGGAGACCTGAAAGTGGCACATGTTTGGGCACGATTCATGGCGGATTTAGTCAGTTGTGTCAGGAACTGGTGGTTTGAAATCCAGACTAATCCACGCCTGATTCATTTTCACAAACGTGAGTCTCTCCACACTTTGGGTGGACAGTCGTGTGTCCTCCGCGGAGTTACAATACCTCCTGCCGCACTAAACACGCGCTCCGATGCCACGCTACTGGCCGGGCATGACAGCCTTTCAAGGGCAAATTCAGCTAGTTGGGGCCAAAGGTCAAGTTTCGTTGCCCAGTAGTCAAGGGGATTGTCTACCTCGGTTGGCAGGGTGCTGTCCAAGTAGGCCCGAGCCTGTTGTTTGAGGTCCTGCTCCAGGTCCACCTGATGCTGCTGCTGCTGCTGCGGCTGGTTAGTAGTTTCCTCACTGCGCTGGTGAAGAAAGCTACTCATCATCGACTGCAGACTGAGGCAGCCGCTGCTGGTGGAGCTGCCACTGCTCCTACCACCCCACCCCTCCCCTGCTGCCATGGCAGCGGAACGCGAGCGCACAGGGCCCACAGTGTCTGAGGATGGACGTTGGCGCAGAAAGGCAGAGACCAACTGACTACATAGGTGGTTTTTATAGTACGTTATTTTGGCCTCCCTCTCAGCAGCAGTGTGAAAAAAGGCCACCATTTTTGAACGGTAGCGAGGGTCCAACAAGGTGGACAGCCAAAAGTCATCCCTCTGTCTGATGGTTATTATTCGGCTGTCGCTACGCAAGCAACCGAGCATGCTATGGGCCATTTGTGCCAAGGAATGCGAGGGACTCCCTGCCTCCATCTCCACAGCATACTGCCACGGTGCGTCTGGGTCCTCTGTCTCCTCCTCCTCCTCCTCTACCAGATGCTCCTGCTCCTCCACTCCTGTCCGCTGAGTGGAAAAAACCACCACCCATTTCACTCAATAATTCCTGAGCACAAATGTCCTCCTCTACCTCCTCCTCTTCTTCCTGTCCTGCCCCCACAGGGGTCATGTGGCGTTGAGATCTGTGCGCCACGTCTACCGCACCCTGACCAGCCATTGTTAACAGCATTTGTTCCAGGACGTGCAACAGAGGAATGACGTCGTTCATCCCATAGTCCTGCCGACTCACGGAATAGCGTGGCCTCCTCAAAGGGCCTGAGCAAGCGGCAGGTGTCACGCATGAGCTGCCAATGGCTGACATCGAAGTTACACAGGGGAGTACCTTTATCCGCTTGTAACATCAGGAAATCGGTGATGGCCTTTCGCTGTTCGTAAAGGCGGTCTAACATGTGTAGGGTTGAAATTCCACCTTGTTGCAACGTCGCAGATCAGGCGATGCTGTGGAATTCCGTTCTGCCGCTGCAGCTCAAGGAGGGTGTGCTTTGCGGTGTAGGAATGGCTGAAATGCATGCAAAGTTTACGTGACATTTTAAGGATGTCTTGCAGTGGGATGGTGGATTTTAGGAACCGCTTGACAACCAGATTGAACACGTGAGCCATGCATGGCGCATGGCACAACCTTCCTTCCTTGACGCAGAGCAGACACCATGTTCTTTCCGTTGTCGGTCAACATGGTTCCGATTTTCAGTTTGCGCGGAGACAGCCATCTGTCGATTTCTCTGTTCATTACACTCAGAAGTTCCTCCCTGTGTGACTACGTTCGCCAAGGCATACCAGGTGCAGCACAGCGTGACACCGTTGCGCCCTGCACATGTGATATGCCGGTCGGGTAATGGGACTTGGCACGGGGGTGGCGGGCTGGCTGAGGACACGGCGGAAGAAGAGGTGGTAGAGGCGGACATCTTTTGTGGACCAAGGACGTGCAAACGTGGAGGCAAAAGCGGCGTGACCTGTCCAAGTTGCTGGTGCAGCTGTGCCGCACACCACGTTCACCCAGTGGGCCGTAAATGACATGTACTGTCCCTGACCGTAGTTACAGCTCCACACGTCGGCGCTGCCGTGCACTTTGGCAGAGACCGACATGCTCAAAGACTGGCCCACCATCTCTTCTACATGTGAATGCAGGGCTGGCACTGCCTTTTTGGCGAAGAAATGACGGCTTGGCACTCTCCACCGCGGCGCGCGGGACACAAGCCATCATTTCTCGGAAAGGTGCTGAGTCCACCACTTGGAAAGGGAGGGACTGCAGCACCAGCAACTTGGACAGGAGGACGTTCAGCTTTTGCACCGTCGGGTGCGTGCTCGCAAACTGTTGTCTCTTGGAAACGGATTCCAAGAAAGACTGCTGACGGAATCCGTGAAGAGGAGTAGCAGGAGAAGGAGCATCTGAACGAGCGGAAGATGCCAACGAGCGACAAACTCCCCTCAGCAGAGGTGTTGGAGCCTTGACTGGCTGATAGAGGGCGATTGACGTCGGGTGACGGAGCAAGCAAGTAACGGAGCGGGTGATGGAGCGGGGGGGCTGGGGCAGGCAGAACCGCCGTATCTTTATCACGGTTTTCCCAGGCCACCAAATGGCGACGCTGCATATGCTGACGCAACGCAACGCTGTAGTCCCAACATGGGCCCCCTGGCCACGCTTGACTTTCTGGCCACATAGTCGACATACGGCTACGTTTACTTCCTCGGGCGGCTTGACGAAAAATTGCCACACCGCCGAGTAGGAAACTTTGCCCCCGATACTCCTCACTGGCTGACTGCTACTTCCTCCGTGCACACCGGCACCACTACTGGCCGTGGTGGTAGGCTGCAGTGGAGCTGGTGCTCTACTCCGTGGCCGTTTGCCTCCACTGACACTGCTGCGACCCTGCTGCCTCCTGGGCAACCCACCGACTGTTTTGCTCGCTGCCAAGCTGCCACCCTCTTCTCCTGATGATGCGGAAGCAATAGCCTGATGACGACGAGGCTGCCAAGTGCGATCAGCCTCATCATCATCAATTAGGGGTCTCCGCCTCACTACTAGCTAGCCCCCTCGGCTGCGTGTGGGTCAGGAGACAGACCTGTCTCTAGACCGGCTACCGAGCCACTCTCCTCGCCAGTACTTCTTCGCCTGGCTGCTGAAGAGGCGGATGTCTCCCCCCGTTCCTGACCGCCCTCTGTTAGCTCTTCCTCACTGTACAGTGGGGCTGAGCCCACAGCATGCGATACTTCGCTTGGTGAGGGAACACCAAAGGACAGGGGCAGGTAGAGGACACGTGATTTCAGTGGGCTTGCTCCCGGGCCATGCCAACTAACGGTTGTGTCTGACGTACCCACCGACCGTTGGCTGTAGGTGTCAGAGGTGACCTGGGAAGAGGAAGACGACGACCGAGCCAACCAATCGATGACGGCAGGGTTGTCGGTGGAGACACGACCACTGGATGACACCGGGAGCACTGGCCTCTGGCTGCGACTAGTGCTGCCTCGACCCCTTCCTCTGCTGCCACGTCTGCTCGCTCCTAAAACATTGCCTCCTCTGCCACTCCTCTGCATGTTGTCTGACACATACTCTTTAATTCAACGATTCTGTGTCCCTGAGTAAACAATTCTGTGTCCCCTGAGTAACAATTCTGTGTCCCTCAGTAACAATTCTGTGTCCCTCAGTAACAATTCTGTGTCCCTCAGTAACAATTCTGTGTCCCTCTCAGTAACAATTCTGTGTCTGTCCCTGAGTAACAATTCTGTGTCCCCTGAGTAACAATTCTGTGTCCCTCAGTAACAATTCTGTGTCCCTCAGTAACAATTCTGTGTCCCTCAGTAACAAATTCTGTGTCCCTCAGTAACAATTCTGTGTCCCTCAGTAACAATTCTGTGTCCCTCAGTAACAATTCTGTGTCTGTCCCTGAGTAACAATTCTGTGTCCCTCAGTAACAATTCTGTGTCCCTCAGTAACAATTCTGTGTCCTGTCCCTGAGTAACAATTCTGTGTCCCTGAGTAACAATTCTGTGTCCCTCAGTAACAATTCTGTGTCCCTGTAACAATTCTGTGTCCCTGTAACCCTCTGTGTCCCTGAGTAACAATTCTGTGTCTGTCCCTGAGTAACAATTCTGTGTCCTGTAACAATTCCCTGAGTAACAATTCTGTGTCCCCAGTAACAATTCTGTGTCCCTCAGTAACAATTCTGTGTCCCTCCCTGAGTAACAATTCTGTGTCCCTGAGTAACAATTCTGTGTCTGTCCCTGAGTAACAATTCTGTGTCCCTGAGTAACAATTCTGTGTCCCTGAGTAACAATTCTGTGTCTGTCCCTGAGTAACAATTCTGTGTCCCCTGAGTAACAATTCTGTGTCCCTCAGTAACAATTCTGTGTCCCTCAGTAACAATTCTGTGTCTGTCCCTCAGTAACAATTCTGTGTCCCTGAGTAACAATTCTGTGTCCCTCAGTAACAATTCTGTGTCCCTCAGTAACAATTCTGTGTCCCTGTCCTGAGTAACAATTCTGTGTCTGTCCCTGAGTAACAATTCTGTGTCCCTGAGTAACAATTCTGTGTCCCTCTGAGTAACAATTCTGTGTCCCTGTCCTGTGTCCCTGAGTAACAATTCTGTGTCCCTGTAACAATTCTGTGTCTGTAACAATTCTGTTCTGTGTCCCTGAGTAACAATTCTGTGTCTGTCCCTGAGTAACAATTCTGTGTCCCTCAGTAACAATTCTGTGTCCCTCAGTAACAATTCTGTGTCCCTCAGTAACAATTCTGTGTCCCTCAGTAGTAACAATTCTGTGTCTGTCCCTGAGTAACAATTCTGTGTCCCTCAGTAACAATTCTGTGTCCCTCAGTAACAATTCTGTGTCCCTCAGTAACAATTCTGTGTCCCTCAGTAACAATTCTGTGTCTGTCCCTGAGTAACAATTCTGTGTCTGTCCCTGAGTAACAATTCTGTGTCTGTCCCTGAGTAACAATTCTGTGTCTGTCCCTGAGTAACAATTCTGTGTCTGTCCCTGAGTAACAATTCTGTGTCTGTCCCTGAGTAACAATTCTGTGTCTGTCCCTGAGTAACAATTCTGTGTCCCTGTCCCTAAACAATTCTGTGTCCCTGAGTAACAATTCTGTGTCCCTGAGTAACAATTCTGTGTCCCTCAGTAACAATTCTGTGTCCCTCAGTAACAATTCTGTGTCTGTCCCTGAGTAACAGTAACAACAATTCTGTGTCTGTCTGTCCCTGAGTAACAATTCTGTGTCTGTCCCTGAGTAACAATTCTGTGTCCCTCAGTAACAATTCTGTGTCCCTCAGTAACAATTCTGTGTCCCTCAGTAACAATTCTGTGTCCCTCAGTAACAATTCTGTGTCCCTGAGTAACAATTCTGTGTCTGTCCCTGAGTAACAATTCTGTGTCTGTCCCTGAGTAACAATTCTGTGTCTGTCCCTGAGTAACAAATTCTGTGTCTGTCCCTGAGTAACAATTCTGTGTCTGTCTGTCCCTGAGTAACAATTCTGTGTCTGTCCCTGAGTAACAATTCTGTGTCCCTCTGAGTAACAATTCTGTGTCCCTTCTGTGTCCCTAAACAATTCTGTGTCTGTCCCTGAGTAACAATTCTGTGTCTGTCCCTGAGTAACAATTCTGTGTCTGTCCAATTCTGTGAGTCCCTGAGTAAAAATTCTGTGTCCCTCAGTAACAATTCTGTGTCCCTCAGTAACAATTCTGTGTCCCTCAGTAACAATTCTGTGTCTGTCCCTGAGTAACAATTATGTGTCCCTAAGTAACGGTTCTGTGGCCCTAAGTAACGGTTCTGTGTCCCTAAGTAACGTTCTGTGGCCCTAAGTTACGTTTCTGTGTCCCTAAGTAACGGTTCAGTGGCCCTAAGTAACGATTCTGTGGCCCTAAGTAACGTTTCTGTGTGTCCCTAAGTAACGTTTCTGTGTCCCTAAGTAACGTTTCTGTGGCCCTAAGTAACGGTTCTGTGGCCCTAAGTAACGGTTCTGTGTCCCTAAGTAACGGTTCTGTGTCCCTAAGTAACGATTCTGTGGCCCTAAGTAACGGTTCTGTGGCCCTAAGTAACGGTTCTGTGGCCCTAAGTAACGGTTCTGTGGCCCTAAGTAACGTTTCTGTGGCCCTAAGTAACGTTTCTGTGTCCCTAACTCTCTCCCTCAATACAGCCAGGTCTGCCTCTCTTGAATGACTGGAGGCAAATGGAGAATTCTAAAATGGCCGCAATTTATAGCTCGACCATTACACAGTGCTGGCTGGCTGGCTGCTGATTGGCTAATGCGATCACATGTCATGAATGAATGCATTATGGGTCAGCGCGCCTTGTCTGCGCGCCTTCCCAGAGATCCCCGCTCCGTCGCCGCACATGTCGCCGCCATTTTTTGAAAAATTTCGATTCGCGCATCCGAAGTCTGCTAATTTTCGGATTCGTCGCGAATCGAAATTTTCCTAATATTCGAAACGAATTCCACTTCGCCTACTTCGATTCGCTCATCTCTAGATATAAGGAATTATCCTGCCTTTGACTTGGTAACCGCCTTAACTGAGATCCAGAAATGGGAAGATATGGAGGCGAGAACCAACACTTCTGTCAAGGTGGTTGATTAAACAAGTTGTGTAATGGCTGAAAGAGTCCTTAGATCTGGTGAGTGAACTGGAAGTGTCTGAAGGAGTCATTAGATCTTGTAGATTAGCTGGAGGGATGCCACTTAGGTTCAATCCGTTGAATAGGTTGAATCTGTTTTCCAGCTCTCCTCCATATAACACAAGACTTCAGTCGGTTTGCTCCTCTGACTGTAGTCCACAGCTAAGAGACATCCGAACATTCTCTGCAGACATGTGGGCAGTTTGTTCCATGATGCTGGGGGGTCATCACAATGATTGTTTTGCCAGGCAACAAATCTGCTGAATCTTTTGTCTTTATCTGTGGCCACCTTCCAGGGAAATTTTCCTGTGATCAGGCAGTAGAGGAGCACTCCAAAACTCCATACATCCAGAGTGGAGTCTACAGCCAGTTCTTCCTGTCCAGTGAGTTCACACATCTCAGGGGCCCTGTAGGAGGTGCTGCCAGACTTAGATCTAATCACTGTTCCTTTCATACGAGTAAGGCCAAAGTCAGTGATTTTCACACAACGACACTCCTGGTCAAATACCAAAATGTTTTTACATTTTATGTCCATGTGCACCAGTCCTTTCTCGGCAATAAATTCCAGAGCACTGGAAATCTGCATGGCACATCTCTTAACATTGTCTTCTAGAAGTCCAACCTGGAATATAAAAAAAAAAAAGTTATTACCCTGAAATAGAATGATCCAGAAAATTGCTAAAATTCGGAATCAGCTGGAATCAGACTTACATTGCGTACAATTATAGAGGACAGGTCACCAACTGGTGCCGCCTCTAGGCCAAATACGAAGTGGTCTTGGGTCTTGAAGGCCATGTCAAAACTCCTGATGATGTTGGGATGAGAAGAAAGGTAGGAGGACACACTGAACTCTATCAGAAATTGCCTTTTACTTGTTCTTTTCTTTTCCAAGATCTTCAACGCCATCTTCTGATCTGTAAATAGGACATGATTAGATTGATATTAAGCACAGCATTTGTGTGCATTTATATTTAAATCATGTTATGGGTATGGAGAGAGATGTATAAAATTAAAACATCCTGTATAACTGGCACTTACTTGTTTCTTTGTCCTTTACCAGCAGCACTGAACCATGTCCTCCACTTCCAAGTTCCTTTATGAGGTGGAATCTCTCCTGTAAGTCTATCTCCTGTAGACCTTGTGATGATGAGGAGACAAGTCCTTTCAGAAGGATCTTCACATCGTGGGCAGCAGAAGCCATTTTGATCTGGAGAAGACAGAACAGTTTTTAGCCCTTATTCAGATAACACCTAAAACCCCCCAAATAACATGTAAAATATCCTTCTCGTAATACAACCAAACACATCACATAATAAAACATATACTAAAATATTGACTTAAAGTCTTCATTTGTACCAACTATATGTACAGGCTGGTAGGGAATAACATGGAAGATGTGGTTGATAGAAAAAGCTCCAATTAAATTCACATTTTCATAAACACATACTGTACAACTGAGGGCCGATATAAAACTACAACATTACTATATACAGCTCAGTTATATTTGTGTATTGATTGACAAGTGTCATTCTATAATAGTGAGGAAGTAACAAAAATATTCCTTATAATAGTATGAAATATAATGACTTACCTTAGGAAATGTTGAGATCACTCTTCAATGTATCCTGCAAAGTGTTCCTCTGTTATCAGGCTTCACTGATTTCCAGGTGAGATCTTCAGCTATTCTACAATGTCACCCTAGATCTGGTGTTGAAGAGGAATGAAAGAGGGAAGAGAAGGTCACCTTTAAATAGGGAGTTTAAATGGGGGGGTAAAGTTGAAGCATTCTGATTGGCTGCCTGGGAATTTTCATACGTTGTACAAGTAAGCCAACATTGTTTTTGCCAATTTGCATTTGAACTGATCACTTGTAGACTGTAATCAGAATGTGAGAATGAATACAAAGAAACAAGGAAGACTTGAGGTTCAGGAGTATCAGCGTTTGCTGGGCTATAGATGATCACTTTATATACAGTATTCCATTCTACTGGAATATGAAATGACATTTTTCATTTTGCTGTGGAGCTCCTGGTGAGAAGGTTCGGTGTGTGTATGTGATTTTTCATTTCCGGGTAGGGGACGCACAAGCCGTGTGACCGCACCCTACCCATGCCACCATTCGCAGCTGCTCCCAGCCGGTGATTAGTCGCTGGCATCCGGTGATTGCTGAGCATCTTCGATGGGGAGGAGAACTGTTTGTAAACAAAACCATTCTCCTCCCTGTCAGCTCGTGCACACTGCACAGCACAGCCATCCAAATCACTGTGCTTACAGACACAGCCCTATAATAAAACACAACCAGCACAATCCAGGTAACCCTTTGATCACACCACATGTTAACCCCTTCCTGCCCAGTGTCATTAGTACAGTCAGTGTTTTTTTTTTTAGCACTGATCACTGTATTGGTGTCACTGGGGATGTTAGTGACACCAAATCCATTTCCCCCAGTGTCAGAATGCCCGCTGCAGTCCCGCAGTCCCGCTATAAGTCTCTGATTGCCACCATTACTAGTAAAAATAAAAAATAAAAAATCCCAGTGTATATACCGCCATTTGTAAATGCTATAACTTTCAAGTAAACCAATATTGTATTACACATATTTGGATTTTTTTTTTTAGCAAAGAAATGGAGTAGAATATATTTTGCCCTAAATTTGACAATTTTATTTTATATATTTTTTTACTGGACATATTTAATAGCAAAAAAAGTCCAAAATTAATTGTTTTTTTCTCAATTATAGTGCAAAAAAAAAAAAACACGCACAGACAATCAAATACCACCGAAAGAAAGCTCAATTCATGGGAAAAAATGGACGTAAATTTTATTTGGGTGCAGTGTTGCATGACCGCGCCAGTGTCAGTTAAAGTCATCAACTCAAAGGGTTAATTGTGTGTTGAGAGTGATTTACTATGGGGCTGTGTGTGTGCGTCACTGTAATCACACGAGCTGAAAGGGAGGAGAACTGTTAGTAAACAAAACAGTTCTCCTCCATGGCGGAGATCGTCGGTAATCATCAGGTGTCGGCGAGTAATCACCGGCGAGGACCTGGTGATTGACAGCCGCGGCCCCTATCTGGAAATGCAAAATCCTGTGTGTGTGTGTATATATATATATATACTTTTTTTTTTTTTTGTCATTCTCAGATGTCCTGATAGTTGGTTAATACAACCACAGTTTCAGGAAAGAAAATCGCTTGATTCCCATATCAACACAATCAGTGTTGATGGAAGAATTCCTTCCATGGAGCTATTGTGTTCTCTCGGTGGGGATAGGGGGTGGGAAGTCATCCCCACTGGGAGAATACAGTGATTTCTCTTAGCGGCTATATTACCCTCTAGCAATGATCACATGGAAAACCAGATAGGTTGGATGCACCCACTTTTGATCGATTGGTCATCTTAGGTACTGTACATTCAGCCTGCCTATACTTAGGTTAAATCTTGACCATCTGAGATTCGAACCTTCTATGGCGGGCTTTAGTTATAAAGCTTTCCATGCTAGATATGGCAGCCGTTTCCAGCAGATGGTGCCCACAGTTTCCAAGTAAACCTTAAAACTTTTCAAAGCTCCACTAACCAGTTGAGAAAATGCAAGAAAATAAGTGATAGAAAAATAAAATGACACAAATAAAAAAAAAATATATATTTTTTTTCAAGCCATTAGTCTGAGACTAATATTCCGTACACCCAAGGTGTTGGAGCACAGAAATTTACCATAACAATAAGATCTACCCTGAATGGTTTCAGCCTACACC